ATTGCTACTCTAATTTCCCACTTTTTTTTTATTTTTTAATATTTATTTTTTAGCTTTCAGCGGACACAACATCTTTTATTTTATGTGGTGCTGAGGATCGAACCTAGCGCCCTGTGCATGCCAGGCAATCGCGTTACCGCTTGAGCCACATCCACAGCCCCTAATTTTCCACTTTTAACTGCTGTGAATCTTGACAGTAGCCTTCTGGAAAAGCCGAGGCCCCAGCACACATTGCAATGGGTGGATGACTGTGGTCATATGAATATCATCCAGTGCTGTGTGTAGATGGGACCAATGGGTAAGTGTCAAACCTTCCAGAATCTTCTTCAGGCATGTGAAGCCCATCAAGTCAGGACAGCCTTCAAGGAAGAGGTGAGTGCAGCTAGGAGGGTGCAGTGACTCATGCCTGTAATCTCAGCTACTGGGAGGTCAAGTGGGGAGGATCACAAGTTCAACTCCAGTTTAGGCAACTGAAGAAGACCCTGACTCAAAATAAAATTTAAAGGGGACGTAGCTCAGTGGTACTGCCCTTGCTTATCATGTGCAAGACGCTGGGTTCAATCCCTAGTACTGCAAACAAACAAACAAAATGAGGTGAGTACTGAAGTAAATGGGGTATGCCCTTGAGGAGGGAGGGCTTCTCTGAGGTAGACAGGGTGGACAAGACAAGCCTTTTTAGGTCACATTGCCATAGACCATATAGGCCTTATGAGTCCAGAACTCAGGGAGGGAAGAGGGCGGGGAAAAGGGGTGGAACATGAAATGAAATGAAATTCCATGCATGTGTAATTTTATCAGGATGAACCCAACTACTGTGTATAACTCTAATGTGCTTAAAAAAAAAAAAAAAGTCCAGAATTCAGCTGGACATGCTGGTAAAACTGGATTTCCAGCCTCCACTGCGGTAGTGTGCAGCAGACCACAGCTGTCTGCCATTGTCTTCTTTCTGGGTTCTTGTTTTGTGAATTCAGACAACGAAATCCACTGACAAGAAAAGTGAGAGTAGGACATGTCTGAAACCTTTCTGTCATGACTGAAAGAATTGGGGTGAAGAGGCAGGTTTCCACACCGCCTCAATTTTGGCACGGGCCTCATTATTTCACTAAGAATGAAATAATGAAAACGACATTCAGGGGCTGGGGATGTGGCTCAAGCGATAGTGCGCTCGCCTGGCATGTATGTGGCCCGGGTTCGATCCTCAGCACCACATACAAACAAAGATGTTGTGTCTGCCGAAAACTAAAAATAAATATTAAAATTCTCAAAAAAAAAAGAAAATGACATTCAAAGACACTGGAACATTTTACCTTAATGATTGATTACAACTGTTATGTACATGATGCTTTCTGCTTGATGTTACAGAGCTTCTCCAGCATAGTTCCTCTCCAGATCATCCTGGCCTTCACCCACCTACACTAACTAGAAGCAACCCTTTATTAGTCTGTTTTTTTATTTTTAATTTTTATTTATTTATTTATTTTTAGTTATTGGCGGGCACAACATCTTTGTTTGTATGTGGTGCTGAGGTTCCAACCCGGGCCGCATGCATGCCAGGCAAGCGCGCTACCGCTTGAGCCACATCCCCAGCCCTTATTTTTAATTTTTAAAATACTTTTTAGATGTAGTTGGACCCGATATCTTTATTTTATTTATTTATTTTTATGTGGTGCTGAGAATCAAACCCAGCACCTCCCAAGTGCTAGGAGAGCACTCTACCGCTGAGCCACAGCCCCAACCCCTAGTCTGTTTTTCATTACTAAAATGACATACCTGAGGATGTTACAGAGCTAGGCCTTCTGAGAAACTGAGGCACATTGAAGACCTCCCCTTCAAGCCCTGATTCTTTTCTTCCTTCCTTTTTTTTTGGTACCTGGAATTGAACCCAGGGGCACTTGACCACTAAGCCACATCCCCAGCCTTATTTTGTATTTTATTTAGAGACAGGGTCTCACTGGGTTGCTTAGTGCCTCGCTCTTGCTGAGGTTGGCTTTGAACTCAAGATACTCCTGTCTCAGCCTCCCAAGCCACTGGAATTACAAGCATGTGCCACTGTGCCTGGTGAAATCTCGATTCTTGTAATCAAGTCAGAAAGATTTCAGACATGTTGCTGAGAATAATAGGAGTGAGTTTATTGAAAAGATAGGGAAAAGGAAAAGGGAATACTCTCAAAGGAGAGAGTTCGTCCTCTCAGAGAGGAGAGGGACAATTTGCCTCTCCTGCACTCCACTTTTATTGGGGATCCCAGAGAAGTTTAGAGTCCCACTGAGGTCCACCTCTGACTTTTGACTGACAGTAGGGTGACATCAGACTTTCAAGTCCCCACAGTCATGGCAACTCTAGGTCACCTTGGCCCATGGTGATGGGTTCTAATTGGATTCTTTTTTTCTTTTGGTACCAGGGACTGAACTCAGGGGCACTCAACCACTGAGCCACATCCCCAGCCCTATTTTGTATTTTATTAAGACACAGGGTCTCACTGAGTTACTTAGCACCTAGCTTTTGCTGAGGCTGGCTTTTAACTGCAGATCTTCCTGCCTCAGCCTCCCCCACTGCTGGGATTACAGGAATGTTTACCACATCTGGCTAAATGGATTCTTTTTTTTTTTTAATTTTTAAATTTTTATTTTTTTATTTATATATGACAGCAGAATTCTTATTACATATATTGAACACAATTTTTCATATCTCTGGTTATACATAGTATATTCACACCAATTCGTGTCTTCATACCTGTACTTTGGATAATAATGATCATCACATTCCACCATTATGGATAATTGGATTCTTTTTTTTTTTTTTTAGTAGTTGTAGTTGAACACAATAACTTTATTTTATTTATATGTGGTGCTGAGGATCGAACCCAGGACCTTGCACATGCCAGGCGAGCACTCTACCACTGAGCCATAACCCCAGCCCCCTAATTGGATTCTTAATCATACATTCTTACAGATTTTAAGGTTAGGAGGAACTCCTTATCTCTCAGAGTTTCAGGATCTAGTCACAAAATTCTCCATCTTCAGGGTAAATAAGGATTCCTCTTATCAACATTTTTGGCTGGGGTGGGGTGGCTCAGGTGTCTGAGGCAGGAGGATCACAGGTTTATGGTCAGCCTTAGCAACAGCGAGGCAGTGGGCAACTCAGAACTTGTCTCCAAATAAAACACACAAAAAAAGGACAGGGGATGTGGCTCAGTCATTGAGTTCCCCTGAGTTCAAGCCCCGGTACCCCCAAAAAACAAAACACCTCCCCCCCAAAAACCTCATTATTTTGGGCTTGCAATGAACAGGTAGTTGTTTGCTGAGGAATGTGATACATCCTGTCCACTTAGGCCAGGCAAGGATGCAGGTAAATTGCTTGTTGGAAAAGAAAGCATGTGGGGGTTGGCACAGTGGGTCCATTTTATAAAATTATTCTCTTAATCTTGTGTTCCCACCGTCCTCATCTATCTTTTCCCTAACAGGGCTAGGAATTTTATAAGAAAAAAAGAGGTTTATTTAGCTCATAGTTCTGGAGTTCAAGGGCACAGCATTAGCATATGTCATCATGGCAAGAGCATGTATAAGAGAGAAACATCACATGGCAAGACAGAAAGCCACAGAGAGATAGGGTCTCAGGAAACTAGTTAATCCCTTCTAAGGATAACCTTCTCCATGACCTAAGGACATCCTACTAGGCCCCACAGCCTCTTACACTAGTGGACTGGGGACCAAGCTTCCAACACATGAGCCTTTGGACAACACACTTAAACTATATCCAAACCACATCAGCCTTTCTCTTGATCTTTCCATGGCACTTTCTTTGACTTTCATATTATTTACCAGAACTCGAATCAACTAATCTCAATGAGTTCCTTGAGGGACAGATCTTTGCCAGGTCTTTTCAACACCAGGGTCTTGTACAAAGTCATTCATAACAAATTCCTGAATAAAAATGTTGGGGACAATCCAACCTGTGACATATCACTGTATTTGTAACTCTCCTTTCTTCTTTTTGCACCTATTGACTTTTCTCTCCTGCTCTGTGAGTGTGTAAAGAAATTAAGAGTTGGATACCCAGGTACCCCTTGGGCCAGCACAGTGCAAGGTCCAACAATTAGTAGGTGCTTTGTAAAGGTCTGTGGGAGTGACAAAGGGAAAGTAAGTTTGCCAAGGAGTTCCAGCTTCACTTCTGTCAATCAGCTGCAGCATAACTAAGGATTACTTCCCAGGACTCTGTACCGCAGCTCTGATAAACTGTGCAGAAAAGCACTTTGAAATAACAAATCCTGTCAATACTATATAACCAGTTGTAGTATCTTATTCTATACATACTTCTGGAAATAAAGATACACAGTAATTAATTCTGTAAGAATGATTATATTTACAAGTTAAAGGAATATCCATTCTTGTCTGATAAAACCTTAAATTTTTATTAAATCAGCAGAGTTTCCATTATGACTATCCAAATACTCTTTGTTAAAGAGCTAAGTAGTAGGCTATGATTTTTCCCCTTATTGTACAATCTTCTATTTTCTCTGGAGTTGAAGACAGCATCGTTTTTCATTTGTTTAATTTTCCACTTACCATCCAAATGTTCCAAAAGATGTGATAAAGGCGTTTCAATATTACTGTCCATGGGTTCAGAAATATCAGATTATAAGAAATCAATCAAATCTTTACAATGCTTCAGTCACAGAGCAATTCCATTGCACGCTTTCGGAGTAACCTATCCAGCATTCCACCAAAGGCAGTTCTTTAGGTCAGTCCCTTAGCGCACTCTTGCACCTCACCTAATCCTTCCCTGATCCTAGGAAGCCTAGGGATCCATCCCAAGATGGGCAGCAAGGGAGTACTGGAGAAGAAAAAGGGCAGTTTTCTCCGAACGCCAGCCGGCGCAGGACGACCCGCCACTAACCGAGAACCTCCAGTAACCAACCCTTACTTCCCTCTTCGCGCCGCCTCCTTCCGCTGCCCTTCCGGTCCCGCCCATTCCAGGCCTCGCCTCCGTCCCACCCCTTCCGGGGCGGCAGCCAGCTGCTCCACGCTTCCGCTTCCGGCGGTGTTTGTAGTAGTAAGCGGTGCGGCTATGGCGGCCGGCGGCAGTGATCCGCGGGCTGGTGACGTGGAAGAGGACGCCTCACAGCTTATCTTTCCCAAAGGTGAGGTACGGGGCTGCTTGATTCTTCCTGCCACTTCACGTGGTCGCCACAGGCCTGGGGTTCTCAGCCTCGCCCAAGACGCCTCAGCGGATTTTGGGGGCTGGTCTCCCGGGCGACGTTGAACGATGAACGCGGACTCCGACCCTTGAGGGTCCCCCAGAGCACGGATGATTCTGGTCTGCCTTTTGCATTGTGCCTTCTGGAGAGGGCCGCTCCCCGATCCTTGGAGTCCTTGGCGGCCTCTTGTTACCTTTTTTTTTGATACTAGGTATTGGACCCAGGAGCGCTCAGCACTGAACCACATCCCCGGCCCCCTTTTTATGCTTTATTTTGATTTTGGGGCCTCGCTGAGTGGCTGAGTGGCTGAGTGAGGCCTCGAACTTGCGGTCCTTTGTCACAGCCTTTCGAGTTGTGGAATTACAGACGCTAATCGCCGCCGAGCATTAAGTGGTAGTTTTATCTGTGAACTCCCTCCAAAGTGCTGGTAGACACAGCCGCACACCAAAGTGGTCAGGGCGGATTTTTTTCTTTTACTTATTTATTTTGTGATGCTGGGAATTGAACCCAGGATTTCTCGCATACTGGCCAAGTGCGTTCATCGTTAGCCCTGGACAGGTTTTAATCCGTAATATTGCAGTAGAGAGACCTGTGAAGATTGCACAGGACTTCTGGGCCTTTTAAAGGGAGAGTGAAGGTATAGGAAGGGGATGAGCAGAGTCAGGGAAGTAAAACATGACAAAACGGGGAAGGAGAAGGCTGTTCCTTGTGAAACCCTCCTGGGCTTGTTAACTGGCATAGGCTCCTACCCCTCCAAGAGACTCAGACATAATCTTATCTTCAGATGTCCGCTGAAACAAACTAAAATAATAATAGTGCACCTAATAGTGCACCTGCCTAGCATGTGCATGGCCCTGGGCTCAATCCCCAGTACCTTTAAAAAAAAAATTATATGCACAATAAAAAGTGAAACTCCATATGCTTTTGACCCAGAGGAAGCTACTGTAAATAGTTAAGTGCTTATCCTTCCATACTATGAAACCTATGCTTACAGAAACATACACATAGGGGCTAGAAGTGTAACTCAAGTACTAGAGCACTTGTCTAACATGTGAGACACTAAATTTTATCTTTGACGCTGCACAAGAAAAGAAAAGAAAGAAAGAAACATACCACTTGCCCACACACAAATGGGATGGGGTTGTAGCTAAGTTGTAGAGTGCTTGCTTACTGTGTGGTTGCTAGGTTCAATCCAAAGCATTGCAACCCCCCCCACCCCCCCCCGCAAAAAAATTGCTATAGAAATTCTACAAAATTTGACTACATACTATAGAGAAATTTTATTTTTTTAAATTTATTTTTGTGGTACCTGGGATTGAATCCAGGGATGCTCTACCACTATGTTACATTCCCTTCCCTTATCATTTTTTATTTTGAGATAGGGTCAAAGACCTCAAACATGTAAGTCCTCCTGCCTCAGCCTTCTGAGTAGCTGGGATTACACGTGTGTACTATAACACCCAGATCTATCTACTTATTTTAAAGGGAAAACAGTTCCTATAGAATGGAGGTTCAGTTCTTCCATGGGACAAAATCATAGACATTTTTGGTGAGATGGAAATAGGTGCTTAGTTTTTAAGGTATAATAACTAAAAAGAAGATGGTTTTCCTAATTCCATGGTAAAGTTTTTTTTAAATATTATATATATATATGTGTGTGTGTGTGTGTGTATATATATATATATATATATATAAACTTAGTTTTTTAATTTGGTTTCTTTTTTGGTTTCTTTTTACATTCTGAAGATTTTTTTTAACTTTTTTTTTTCTTTCTTATTTTTTTTTTAGTTTTCGGCGGACACAGCATCTTTGTTTGTATGTGGTGCTGAGGATTGAACCCGGGCCACACGCATGCCAGGCTAGCGTGCTACCTCTTGAGCCACATCCCCAGCCCCTGAAGATATTTGTTTTTGATTAACTTAAATAACATCTGATACACATGATTTATTGAGTTGGATATAATTAGATCTTAGTTCCATCAGTTAACAGTTTCAGAGTTCTCACTAACTGTTAATCTTCTCAGCTGATATAGGCATATAAAATGTTTATTATGTATTATGTATATTCTTACATAGAGAAATAGGAATAACAGTAAGTACTAAAGAAAATAAGGAAACCTTTACTGTAGAATGTAAATAAGTGTGTGATATTTTATTGTGGGATTGTAAGAGTAGATAAGATCACAAAGGTGAATACTGTCAGTAGTAGCTTTCAGATATATTTGCCTCCAAATAAAATCTTCCTTTATGTGTACACAATTAGCAATAACTGTGTTGAAATTAGGAAATGAGCCTTCCCCCCCCCCAAAAAAAAAATAATTATATGGCCCTAGTCTCTCCCTCCCCCATCTAAAGAAATCCTCTAAACCATTTTGTACCAGAGTGAAAAATATGCAGCATAAGAAGACCATTTATGGCTGGGTGCAGTGTCGTATGCCTGTAATTACAGTGGCTCAGAAGGCTTAGGCGGGAGGATCACAAGTTCAAAGCCAGCCTCAGTAATTTAGTGAGGCCCTAAGCGACTCAGTGAGACCCTGTCTCTAAATAAAATATAAAATGGGTTCAATCCCTGAAGAGACACACACACACACACATTCAAGACCATCCTTGGGCAGGAGAATCAGAAGTTTGGGGCCAAGCTACGGCAATCTAGTGAGACCCTGTCTCAAAATAAAAATAAAATTTTCTGGGGCTGGGGTTGTAGCTTAGTAGTCGATCACTTGCCTTGCATGTATGAGGCTCTGGATTTGAATCTCAGCACCACATAAAACTAAATAAAGATATTGTGTCCATCTTCAACTAAAAATAAAATATGCTGCCTTGTCTTGTTTTGGGGGAGCAGGTTGTGGCAGGTGTTATGTCAGTTGTCCCTCTCACTTCAGTTTTGAGGTCTTAGAGTCCTGATTTGATATCTTCTCCCCTAATTGCCTGAAGCATTATTTTCTTCACCTGAACTTATACCCCAGATGGTTGAAGCTGAGAAGTAAATTTTCATAATAGGTAGTGTGGGGATATCTCCTGTAATAGGCTAAGGGACTGGAAAAGATTATGATGTACTGAAGGTTTTTTTTGTTTTTTTTTCCAAACTTTGCTGCCGTCAGGTGGGAAATATCTTTTTACTTATTATATTTGGCAGCACTAAGTGCCTTTTTAATAAAAATACTGTTTCCTCCTCAAAAAATGGGAAGGCTTAACTCTGATGGAGATATTAGTGATTTCTCTATTAGTAAGCACACCCATATCACCTTTAAATTCCATAGATTTTTCTTGCTGTTGCATCCTCTTAGGATCATAAACATGAATTCATGTTTGCAAATGGTTCCTACGTTGGAAGAAATCACTAGAAAGGGAAAGAAAGGCAGACAAAACCCAGCTCTAATACTTTGAGATAAGTATGAGGAACATTGTCACAGAAATGATTTTCCCAAGGGGATAGTGGCATTTTTTAATAGTGTTATTCTGAAAATATAGCTTGCTGTGTGTGTGTGTGTGTGTGTGTGTGTGTGTGTGGTACTGGGGATTGAACCCAGAGGTGCTTTACCACTGAGTACATCCACAGAATGGATGGATGAATGGATGGTGCTGGTGATTGAACCCAGGGCCTTGTGCATGCAAGGCACAATCTTTATTTATTTATTTATTTTGGAACTGGGGATTGAATTCAGTGACACTCAACCACTGAGCCACATTCCCATCCCTATTTTGTATTTTATTTAGTCACAGGATCTCCCTGAGTTGCTTAGTGCCTCACCATTGCTGAGGCTGGCTTTGAACTCTAGATCCTCCTGTTTCAGCCTCCCTAGCTGCTGGGATTACAGGCAAGGGCAACCGTGCCCAGCCACAATTTTTATTATTTTTGAGACAGGGTCTTGCTAAGTTGCTAATGGTCTATCTTAAGTTGCCAAGAATAGCCTTGAACTAGCCTACTGCCTTAGCCTCCTGAGTTGCTGGTATTACAGACATGTGCCACTGTGACCCACATGGTTGCTATGTATTATAGAAAGTAGTCATAGGTTTCTTTTTAAGCCCTGTTTTTTTGGGGTTGGGGGGTGGGGGCAGGTATCAGGGATTGAATTCAGGGGTATTTGACCAATGAGCCAAATCCCCAGCCCTATTTTGTATTTCATTTAGAGACAGGGTCTCACTGAGTTGCCTAGTGCCTAGCTTTTTGCTGAGGCTGGCTTTGAACTCTTGATCCTTCTGCTTCTGCCTCTCAAGCCACTGAGATTACAGGTGTGTGCCACTGCGCCCAGCCCACCTTGTCATTTCTTAACATGTAACATTTCTTAAAATTGAGAGTACAGTGTTAGCATTGTAGAACTATAAAGACTATGACTTTTGGGCTAGGATGTGGCTCAAGCGGTAGCGCGCTCGCCTGGCATGCGTGCGGCCTGGGTTCGATCCTCAGCACCACATACAAACAACGATGTGTCTGCCGAAAAAACTAAAAAATAAATATTCATATTTAAAAATTCTCTCTCTCTCTCTCTCTCTTTCTCTTTCTCTCTCTCTTAAAAAAAAAGAAATAAAACCAAAAAAAAAATACTATGACTTTTTACAGGCTAGAGAGAAATAATTTTTTTAAATGTTTTATTTTGAGACAGGGTTTTGCTAAGTTGCTCAGGTTCTCACTAAATTGCTGAGGCAGGTCTTGAATTTGTGATCCTCCTGTCTCAGCCTCCTGAGTTGCTGGGAATACAGGCATGAGACACCATGCCCAGCAAGAAATAATTCTTAATGGTCCCTGATTTTAAATCAGTAACTTGCCCAGTTAGAGTAAGGATGTATTGCTGTTTAATAGCATGTCCAGGTCAGATTCTTTGGTGTCAGAAAATGTTTAGCCCCAAATGAGCTAAATTTTGATATCACATGAATTCTACTGTTCCTGTGGTACATAAGTGTGAATGAAAATGAAGATGTTCAAATGCAAAATGAACATTTATAAGCTGGCTTTGAAGGAATATTTTCAGCTGACTTTTATGCTTTTCACAAATAGAGTTTGAAACAGCAGAGACTCTTCTAAATTCAGAAGTTCATATGCTTCTGGAGCATCGAAAGCAACAAAATGAGAGTGCAGAGGATGAGCAGGAACTCTCAGGAGTCTTCATGAAAACTTTAAACTACACTTCCCGTTTCAGTCATTTCAAAAATAGAGAGACCATTGCAAGTGTCCGTAGGTGAGTGCTAAAAGAAAGTTTGTTAATTCAGACTACTGGACATCTGCAGGTAGAATGCCATCCCCACCTCTTTTTATTGGTACTGGGGATTGAACCCATGAATGCTTCACCACTGAGCTCTACCTCCTCTATCTGCATCCCTTTTTATTTTTATTTTTTTAAAACAGGGATCTTACTAAGTTGCTTAGAGACTTGCTAAATTGCTGAGGTTGGCCTCCAACTTGATCCTCCTGTCTAAGCCTCCTGGCTTGCTGAGATTACAGCTGTATACCACCTCACGGCCTCTTCCTCCCTTTCCCAGACACTTGTGAGTTTAATGTAAATAAAATAATGTCTGACAAAAATTTATAAATTAAGCTGGGAATCTAGGTCAGAGACAAAGCACTTGACTAGCATGTTGGAGCCCTAGGTTTGATCCACAGCACTCCCCGCAGTTTTTCTTTTTTCTTTCTTTTTATTTGATTCTAGGGATTGAACTCAGGGACTCTTGGCCACTGAGCCACATCCCCAGCCCTATTTTGTATTTTATTAAGAAACAGGATCTCACTGAGTTGCTTAGTGCCTCACTTTTTCTGAGGCTGGCTTTGAACTCACAATCCTCCTGCCTTTGCCTCCTGATCTGCTGGGATTATAGGTGTGAGCCACTGCACCCAGCCCCTTTTTGTTTTTCATTTTGAAATAAGGTCTCACTAAGTTGCTGAGGTTACACTCGAACTTGGTGATCCTCCTGCTTCAGGTTCCCAAGCCACTGCATCCAGACAAAAAAAAAAAAAATTTAAGTTGTTTATAAGACCAAAATTCCCTTTGGCCACTTTTTATTTATTTATTTATTTACTTGTTTTTGTTCCAGGGATTGGACCCAGGGGCGTTTAACCATGGAACCACCTCCCTAGCCTTTTTTATTTTGTGTTTTGAGACAGGGTCTCGCTAAGTTGCTTAGGGCCTTCCTAAGTTGCTGATGCTGGCTATAAACTTGGGATACTCCTTCCTCGGCCTCCTGTCATTGGGATTACAGGCATGTGCCACCATGCCTGGTCCCTTTGGCCAGTTTTGTTTTGCTTTGTTTTGGATGCTGGGGGTTGAACCCAGGGCCTCTAGCATGTTAAACACATGGTATAACATTGAGGTCTACCACTGAACGACACTGTCCACTCTTAGAACTATGTTTTTGAACTTTATTTAGGTTTTTTTGTTTTTTTTTTTCAATGTGTTGCTGAGGATTGAACCACCTAGTGCTACACACGTGCTAGGCAAGTGCCTTACCATGGAGCCAGAACCCCAGACCCCTTAGAACTATCTTTAATGACCAAAGATAACAACCTAAAGATTCAGCAGTAATTAAATATACTGTGGTAATTCCATTTGGAAGAGGCTTATAATTAAAAATGTAGTTAAAAATGAAACTAGCAGACGTTCATACGTTCAGTATACAGAAAATGGTGAAAAAACTTAAGACATAATTTGAGGGCTGGGGTGTGGCCTAGGGGTAGAGTGCTTGCCTAACATGAGTGAGGCTCTGGGTTCAATTCCCAGTACTGCAAAAAACCACTAAGGAGTGGTAGTATATTTTATTGGGCATGTGACATACGCCTATAATCCCAGCAGTTTGGGAGACTAAGGCAGGAGGATTGCAAATTCCAGTCAAACCTCAGCTAGAGATATATTTCAGTGGTTAAGTACCGTTGGGTTGGATCTCCAGTACCAATAATAAATAAATAGAACAAAGAACAAAAGGATACCCACACAGAAATCAATTAGATGCACAAAGAAGTATGCATTTGAGGATGTTTCTGAGAAAGAAAAAAACAAATCCTTTTTTCCTATTGACATAGTCACTTGGCACAACACATCTGACACCTGATATATGAGGAGTTTTCCCCCTCATACCAAGCAGTTCATTACCAGCTGTTATTCAGTTCTATTCTGACATTCTTCTTGGAGAGTGTCAGACCTCACAGGTTAAGAACTTGGTGCCTCAAGACTGCCCCCTATTTGAGATATAAATTACAAATCTCAGATTGTGACTTGAACTTCTTACCCACTTCCTTTTCCTTGGTGGTTCTAGTGACCCCTTCCTTAAATTAGATTTCTTTGTTAAAAACAGCCTGTTGAACTCAGGCAGACAGCTTCAACAATCAGGTGAAGAAAAACATAGGACAAGGTTCTGAAAGGTCCTGAGCATAGGATCTTCTGTCTCCTTGGAGTTGAGATGTGATATCCTCCCATGGAGCCAGAACATAGCCAGAACATGGCTATGTTTTTATTCACCAACATGGAAACTCTGAACCCTGTTCTTTCTGGTTTTTATGGAGGCTTCATTATGTAGGCATGATTGGTCACAACATTATGCATTGGTGATCAGCTCAACTTTCAGCCCCTCTCCCTTAGACAGTGAGGAGGGTAGGAGGGCCTGAAAATTCTAACCCTTTAATCACATGGTTGACTCCTTGGGTCCCATGGAGCCCACCGATATTTGCCTTACTAGAATACCGTTTATATTCAAAAACAGAAAAAAATGGGGTTTGGAGATAAAGGGCAGTAGTTGAGCTTTGCACACATAAAGCCATGTATGACCTTCCTTTTTTCTGTTGATCATTCTTTTTTTTTTTTTTTTTTTTATTTCCTTTCCTGTGATTAGCTTGCTGCTCCAGAAAAAGCTACATAAGTTTGAGTTGGCTTGTTTGGCCAACCTTTGCCCAGAGACTGCTGAGGAGTCCAAGGCTCTGATTCCAAGGTTAGTACCAGTTGAGATAAAATATGTGTGTTTTGGATAAATTCCCACAAATAGAATTACTGTGTCTAAAAGGTATATGATTGGGACTGGGATTGTGGCTCAGAGGTAGAGCGCTCGCCTAGCAAGCGTGAGGCACTGGGTTCGATCCTTAGCACCACATAAATATAAAATAAAGACATTGTGTCCACCTATAACTAAAAATTAATTAAAAAAAATAAAAGGTGTATGATTGAACTCAGGGGCACTCAACCATATCCTTAGTCCTATTTTGTATTTTTATTTAGGAACAGAGTTCGCTGAGTTGCTTAACACCTCACAGTTGCTGAGGCTGGCTTTGAACTCACAATCATCCTATCCTGCTTCAGCCTCTTGAGCTGCTGGGATTATAGTCATGTGCCATTGCACAGGAGTACCTTTTAACAGTATATGAGAGAATGATGGTTCTATAGGTGCTAGTAAGAATACGGAATAGCTGAAACTCATATATTAATACTAGTGTTGCAAATTAGTAAAATTACTGTGGAAAGCAATTTGATTGCATCTAGTAAAGTTAAAGATGATTGTATATTCTGACCCAAAAGGCCATTCCTGAGTACATGTCCTAAAGACATACCACACACGTTTAGGAGATATGTATTCCAGTGTTTATTGCTGATGATAGCACAGATTGGACAACAACAGATCAATCAACAAGAGTGTGGGTAAATGAATCATTTTATGGTCGTATAATGTTTATTATACAGCAATGAAAAAAATGAACTAGAACATCATGAAATAACATCAACACATGCCAGAATGAATTTGGAAGAAGAAATTGCAAAAGAATATGTATAGTATAATGCCATTTCTTTGTGTGTGGTGCTGGGTATTAAACCCAGGGCCTTGTGCATGTGAGGCAAGCACTGTACCAACTGAGATATATCCCCAGCCCCATTATTAACTTTATTTTTTAAGTTATAGTTGGACACAATACCTTTTTAGTTATTTTTCTTATGTGGTGCTGAGGATTGAGCCCAGGGCCTTGCTCGTGCTGGGTGAGTTTTCTACCACTTAGCCACAACCCCAGCCCCCTTTATTAACTTTTTAATATCAGAAAAACAAAGCTCTTAAAGTTCTGTTTAGAGCATATATACCAGTGCTTTGGCCATTTAAGTTTAAGGCCCTTTGTCATAAAATGTGGTTTTAAACATTATTCAAATTGCATTTATAATCCTATGACTTCCCTAAAAATACATAACAAGAATGTAGTAAAATTAGCAAATACTAAACTACATTGATAATTCATTATATTTAGTTTGTGGTTTTTAGAAACAGTACACACACCTAAGTTGATATCCTGGCTTCTTAGTTGCAGTGCGCAGTGCAACAAAACACAAAATATATCCCATTTTTTTATGCTTTCAGACAGGTTCTTGCTGAGTTCCTTAGGGTTTCACTAAGTTACTGAATTTGCAATACTCCTACCTCAACCCCCCAACTTGCTTAGATTACAGCATGTACCACCATGCTGGCCCAGAGCCATTTATTACAAAGTTTAAAAACAAGACTGTGTAGCTCACTGGCAGAGTAGGAGCTCAATTCCGAGGACCAGAAAAAATAATAATTTTAAGTAATAAAATAAAGTTTAAAAACATAAACTTTGAAAACCTAAGCTGTATATCACTTAGGGATACATATAGTATATGTATAGTAAAAAATATGTATGGAAATGATAAATTTAGGACAGTGATTTTTTTCTGGGGAAGGAAGGGGAGAAGTATTGGGATGGGCCCTCAATTTTTCTATTATAGTTATGAAAGGTAAATCAAGTATGTCTAATTGTTAAGGCTTTTAAAAATATCTTTTTATGGATTTGAAATATTTTGTAATGTTCGTACAAGAAAAAGCAAAAAAGAAATACAATAGAAAGGTAAAGGTACAGGAGATATGGGTAAGCAATTTTGGGAGATGAACATGCCCAAATAACAGTGGGAAGGCTGGGGTTGTGGCTCAGTGGTAGAGCGCTTGTCTAGCATGTGTGATGCCCTGGGTTTATTCTTAAGTATCGCATGAAGATAAATAAATAAAGGTATTGTGTCCATCTACAACTAAAAATATTTTAAACAATAAAATAAGAGTGGGGAAATTGTCAATTGCTGAGACACTCATGTCTTTTCCTTCTCTTGCAGCCTGGAGGGGCGATTTGAAGATGAGGAACTACAGCAGATTCTTGATGATATCCAGACAAAGCGCAGTTTCCAGTATTAATCTCCAAACTTCACTCAGCTTCTTGGGGGACTCATGTCCCCAGCACACCACCACCCTCTCAGGGGCTGGGGCCTTGCAGAAGCTATTGCAAAAGACATTTGGAATTCTTCAAGAAGAGAGTCCATCTTGGTGTGGGTTTAGGTTGCTGTTTCCAATGTGACTGTTAGACCATAATGACCGTATAATTTTAGAGCAGCCTTGCAGTGACTGCCTAAACATGCTGCTGAGAAGGGTGAGGTGGGGTATTATATAAGCCATGCTGTTGACTATCTCATACTGTGGATTTTGGACCCCACATTTATTTTTTATTCATAACATTTCATATTTTAATTTCAAAGTGTTTGTAGTTTTTGACTAAAGTAGAACATAGAAAACTTTTATAGGGAAAGAATAGTCTTACCTAGGTGCAAAAGAAAGATTTAAGCCAGACAAATGTCAATGTTTCAAATTATTAAAGAAAGGGTGAGAGAAGCTGGGTGTGGTGGTGCACACCAGAAGGATCGCGAGTTCAAAGCCAGCGTCAGCAATGGTGAGGCGCTAAGGAACTCAGTGAGACCATGTCTCTAAATAAAATACAAAATAGGGCTGGGGATGTGGCTTAGTGGTTGAGGGCTCCTGAGCTCAAACCCTGGTACAACCCCCCCATCCCCCCGCAAAAAAAAAATTAAAAAGAGGGAGTGCTAATAACTGTGAGAGTCTTGGCATCCTTGTACATAACCCAGGAAACAGGAAGGAAGCATGTCATGGGATGCAGTTACACCTGCTTGAGTATCACTGTGCCCTTTAGCATGGAGGTAGACAGGCATTTTGCCTATTTTTCTTTGGGTGGTGTTGCAGAACATGGATTTGTAGCAGCCCCACAGAACTCATTTTAAGATTTTTTCTTCATTTGGGCACTGTGACACACACCTGTATTTCCAGTCACTTGGCAATGTACCAAGACCTTGTCTCAAGAGAAACTGGGGGATAGGATGTAGCTCAGTGGTAGAGCGCTCACCTACATGTGAAAGTCCCTGGATTCCATCCCAGCACAGCAAAAGTAAACTTTCATATGTATGACTTGAAGGTCTGAACTCTCTGAAGTCTTTTTCTTTTAGGGAGCATCCATTCCATACCTCTCCCTTGCTACTTAACAGGCCAGGGTTGATTTGAATGGAAGGATTACGAGCCTTCCTGAGCCACTGCAGTGAAATCTCTCAACTTGAGGCCAGTAGTGAACATGGATAGCTAAACATTTTAGCTATGATTTTTCTGAAGGGAAATATTTGTGTTTCCTTCAAAGTTTGAATTTTTTCTTTCTGAAACTTTGTGTATGAACTCATGGGCCTAAGAACAAGTTGGAGAAAGAAAGTTGGTTTTAAAAGTCAAGATAGTTTTGCCTGGCAAGGTGGTGCATGCCTGTAATCTCAATGACTCTGAAGGCTTAGTCAGGATGATTGCAAAATTAAGGCCAGCCTCAGCAACTTGATGAGACCCTGTCTCAATATTTTAAAAAAAGTCAGGGGTAGTTAGCTCAGTATTAGAGTACATAGCCTATGGGAGGTTCTGAGCGTAACCCCCCAATTCTGCAAAAACAACATCACTAACAAAAACCCCTACCAAGATACTACACTTGATCTTAGCCAAAAGGCCGAGAAGCGATAACCTACCAAGTCCATGGGAAATGTGAGTGGTGTAAGATTTTTTTCAGCTTTTTGTTATGAGCATTAAATCTAAAAAACAAGTGTTCCATATCTGTTTGCCCAAACAATGACAGATGTACGATGTAGTAGAGACATAGGTGGAAAGCCTAGCAATTACTCTGCACGAGTTGAGGCTTTTCATGAGGACAGAGTGGGTGAGCAAAGTCTAAAAGTACTAGAAATCTATCAAGTGGAGAAGTGGGGGAAGGACATTCTAGTTCTGTGGTGCTGGGGACAGAACTCCGGTAACCGTTTTACCATTAGGCCATATACTTTGTCCCCTAAATTTATTTTTAAAAGCTCTCCATAAGGGGTTGGGGATATAGCTCAGTTGGTAGAGGGCTTGCCTCACAAGGCCCTAGAGTCAATCCCCAGCACAAAAAACACACACACAAAAAGCTGTCCATAAAATAAGCAATTTCAACCTTGCTCTAAATCTTGCCACTTTGTTGATCAGTTTTTAAAAATTTCATGATTTTTAAGGTTTTAAAATTTTACATGATAAGTCTTTATCTTCTATTTCACCTATCACCGCTGTTCTAAAAAGTATTGTTTTTCAGCTGGCCTTCGTGATGGATTCCTGTAATCCCAGAGGCTTAGGCAGGGGGATCATGAGTTCAAAGCCATGGAATGGAAGCCTCAGCGACTTGGCAAGACCCTGTCCCTGTGTCTAAATAATATCAAAAAAAGGTTGGGGATGTGGCTCTGTTGTTAAGTGCCCTGGGTTCTATCCCTGGTAGCAAAAAAAAAACATTGTTTTTCAAATATCATTACTTACTGTTACCTCTGAATAAGAAATGTTAGAAGCTTGCATTAACAAGGACAATGCACTTAATGACATAGGTGGCCACAGACTGGTGTTTATATGGCTGAGGAGATAGGCCAGTCTTGAATTTACAAGAACATCAGTCAATAAATTTCAAAGTATTCTCTGGCCCACATATATTAGAATAACAAATATTATAAAATTGGGAACTTTAGGGTACAGGGTTATGTCTCAGTGGTAGAGTGCTTTCCTATGAGTGAAGCACTGAGTTCGATTCTCAGCACCACATATAAATCAATAAAATAAAGGTCCATCAACAACTTAAAAAATATTTTTTTAAAAAAGTGGGAGTTTTAAAAGGTAAAGCATTGGGCTGGGATTTGGCTCAGTAGCAGAGCGCTTGCCTAGCTGGGTTTGATTCTCAGCACTGCATATAAATAAATTCTATTGACAACTAAAAAATAATTTAAGAAAAGGTAAATAATGTTTTTAAAATTCAATAAAAAATTATTAGTGTGCTGAGAAGGAGAAAAGTTAGGAAAAAAATTCTTTCCAAATGATTCTTTAAAATACTTTTCATAATTTTGTCTTAAGTGAATTGATAAGAGAAACAGAAAAAGAAAAAGGTCTGCATCCAGAGCTGATTCTCACTATTTCCAACAACAGAGATGATGGCATAGTAGGTTATGGACTCTTACTCACCTATGAAACAGGTAAGCTTTTTCCAAGAGATAAATGGTTCACAACCACAATATTTTGATTTGACTTCAACTGAAAATCAGATACTTAAATAAACACACAGAAGAGAGAAAAATTTGTCTATCTTAAGGGAACCTTTAAGAACTGACCTTGTCTTCCTGCTCAGGCCAGTTTACTGTAGCTTAAATGTGAAAGTGCCAAATGCCTATCTCCTTTTTCATTTATGGACATACCAACCCTGATATACCTGTGGACCTCTGCTAGGCCTGGGCTGACCTGGATAAACAGGAGCAGCAGGCCTCAGCTGCACCCAGGTCTCCTAAGGAATCTCTTGCTTAGTTTGGACACCTCCCCATATAGTGCCAAGCCACTGTTGTCCTTCCTAGCCACACACTTCCCATTTGCTGCAAATCCAGAGCTGGAGAAGGCACAGCTGTATATCTGATGTGGATCTTCCTCGCCTCTACTTGAATTTCAGGATCAAAGAAGCTGGCAGTTGTATATGCCACTGAAGTAAAAATAACAAAACTGTTATCTAAGTGTCCTATTGGTGGATTAAACAATGATAATACCATACTACCCTACATAATATTGCACAGAGCAACTCCTGGCAAAACTGGGATTCTTCAGTGCCTAGTCCAAACCAACTTTTTCAAAAACTTGCTTCTGTCAGTAAAAACTTCAATATACAAGTGATTTCAAAACTATTTAATAACTTAGGGGCCACTGGCCTTAGTGCTTGCTTTCAGGCATTAACTATAATTGCTGGCTTATGGTGAGGTCCTAGGGAAATGAGGTGTTCAGAGATAACTTATGGGAGTTATTTCAGACTGTTTTTTTTTTTTTTTTTTTACAATTTTTAAAAAATATTATTTTTAGTTGTTGATGGACCTTCATTTTATTCATTTATTTTTATTTATATGCGGTGCTGAGAATTGAACCCAATTCCTCAGCACATGCTAGGCAAGTGCTTTACCATTGAGCCACAAGCCAGTCCCTATTTTACTCTAAATTACCAGCATAGGCCTTGGGTTCTCTTTGAATCATTTCCTTTACTCTACCTGGTCTTGTCTCTGACTATTTGCATTCTAAATATAGGAGGAATGGGGCAGATTGCCTTAGAGCCCAGGCATTTGTGGTTAGGCAATGTCAAGTGTTATATCTTACTGAAATTTCACTGCATCTCTCAGGCATTCGTAAACACTCTTTTTTTAAAAAATTTTTAATACTTATTTATTAGTTTTCGGCGGACACAACATCTTTGTTTGTATGTGGTGCTGAGGATCGAATCCGGGCCGCACGCATGCCAGGCGAGCGCGCTAAGGCTTGAGCCACATCCCAGCCCCTCATAAATACTCTTTTTTTTTTTTTTTGTGGTGCTGGGGATTGAACCCAGGGCCTTGTGCGTGTGAGGCAAGCACTCTACCAACTGAGCTATATCCCCAGCCTCATAAATACTCTTAAGACCCACCTTTATACTTTTATTGTGCCTGTGGTGCTGGGGATTGAACCCAGGGCCTTGTGTGTGCCAAGCTTACTCTACTGCTGAGACACCCACCCTGCTCTTACGCTCCTTAATACCTCATTATTTGCTATTTCACTAATTTAAATTTATTGAGTATCCACCATATAGTTGGGGATAAAACAGGAGAAGAGAAGCCTGCTACTGTGGCACACATCTATTATAGTGACTGAGGCAGGAGGATTGCAAGTTTGAGGCCAGCTTCAGCAACAGTGAGACCCTGTCTGCCGCAGTCTGGCTGGGCACAATCAGGAGCCACTTGTCAAAAGAAACGAACTTTATTTTTAGAACCACACACGCCAAACAAAACAGCCTCTCAGGAAAAATCCTCAGAGCCTCAACTGCCACCACCGGCTTTCCACAAGCCTCTCTCCACCTCCCACAATCCTCCTGCTCTTGAGGCCGATTGGCTGGGTCATGTGGGCGGAGCCAAAAAAGTCCCCCAATGAGCAGCTCCCTGGTCTGAAAGGGCAGGGAAACAGCCCAATGAGCATCACCGCAGAGGAGCCAATCAGCTAGATGTTGCTGGGGCCCGCTGTGAGCCAATCATCAGCTGGCAGCTGGAAGTTTGCTGGCAGCTGGAAGTTCGCTGGGGCGCCTTTGGCTGTGGCTCTCAACACCTGTCTCAAAGTGGTAGTTCACCCCGGGTTTAATCCCCAGCACTGTAAAAACTGAGTAAAGCAGACCTGGTCATGGTACCAGGGGTTTGGATTTTATACCCCGCACACCAGGAAGCTATTGGGAAACTTTAAGGAGAGTAATAAGATCTGATTTTTGCTTTAACCAAGTTGTTCTGACTGCAACATAGAAAATGAACCGGGATTGAATGGGAGGGGAAGCACAGAGGGGGCAAGCAGGAAGGATAGTTGGAAAACAATTGCATCAGCAATTAATCAAAACTGGTTTGGACTGGTCAGGTGCAGTGTTGGTGTCTGTGTTCCCAGTGACTCAGGAAGCTGAGGCAGGAGCATCCCAAGTTCAAGGCCAGCCTCAGCAATTTAGCAAGATCCTGTCTACAATAAAACAAAAAGGACTGGGGATGTGGCTTAGTGGGAGAGTGCCTCTGCTTCAATAACCAATACTAGCAAAACAAACATGTACCTGTGTGTGTGTGTTTTTCTAAGCAAACTTTAAAAATGTAAAAGTCATTTTTAACTACACTGCAAATATGGTCTGTCATAATCTGGACCAGAATATCAGAAATGGAAATGGAAAGTGGTCAGATTTGCAATTTAAGACTGAGCAATGCTGTTTTACCAAGGAAGAAGCTGAAACCCCAAAATCAATATTATTCAGCCAACAAATTATAGAAGTGGAAGTTCCCAAAAAGTTTTGAATCCAGCATCATATGACTAATGGGATACCTGAAGATAGAAAAGCATTTAGGACAAATGGATGAGGCTTTAAGTGGATTCCAGCTGGGCATGGTGGTACATGTCTATGATCCTAGTGACTCAGGAGGCTGAGGCAAAAGGATCACAATTTCAAGGCCACCCTTAGCAATTTAGCGAGGCCCTAAGCAACTTAGAACATGTCTCGAAAATAAAACTCAGTTGGTTGAGTGCTTGCCTAGCATGGACAAGGCCCTGGGTTCAATCCCAGCACCACACCTAAGTAAATAAATATATAAATAATAAAAAGGAATCTGATATAACAGTAGGAAAACACCCTGGGTTCAATCCCTAGGATGATCAAAAGGGGGGAAAAAAAGTTCCAGTATTCCCAAAGCCAAGAGCAGAACCTGAGCTGGAGACTTAATCTGCCAAATGTTACTAAAATTTCCTTAACAGGTACTGTAATGAAGGCACTATAGATCAATATAGGTTCACCTATAGCAGAATTTATACTCTCAGGCCAACTGACTTGGGATCTAGTGTTCTTTTTCTCCCTCCACAAACCCAGATTTGTAGTAGTAAATGCAGTATAGTGACATGTACTTTTGTTGTTTTCTTAAAGATTCTGAATATATATGTGTGTGTGTGTGTGTGTGTGTGTGTGTGTGTGTTCATTTATTTTCCAGTGCTAGGAATTGAACCTGGAGTTCTGCATATGCTAAACCCACACTGAGTTACACCCACCCAGCCACCTTTGGGTCTTTAATTCAGGCACTTTGTTTTATTCTGCTGGGGATTGAATCCTGAGACCTTGCAGATGCTAGGCAAGCCCTGTAAAACTAAGCTAAATTCATTGCCCAGCAGACCTTCTTTCAAAGGAAGGAGAAAGCTGTATTATCTAGAGCTGACTGGAACAGGATCATTAGAAATAAGTCTGTTTGCCCAGTAAAAGGTGCCCAGTAAAAGAACTGTATTTGCTGGGCTGGAGGTATAGTTCAATGGTAGAGCACTTGTCTAGCATATTCAAGGCCCTGAGTTCCATACTCAATATCCTTGCGTGCCCCCTCCCCCAACACACACACACACACACACACACACACACACGAATGCTATCACCAGAAGTGGCCCTTTGAACCATGGGCCAAAATAAGCCTTTAAAAAATAATAATAATAATTTAAAAAGATGGTAGCCTCCAGAGAGGTCATGGGTGAGAGATGATTATCTTTTCACTGTATTTCCTTTTATAACTTGAATTTTGTGCCAGCTGTCAGTATTATCTATTTATCCCAAACCAATGAGACTTTTTATTAAAGAAATTTTCAAATATATACAAAAGTAGAATAGGGTAAGTTCTTGGTTACCTATCTATTGCCTAACCAATCTTGTATGTATCTTCCCCCATCTCCCCTTCCTCTACCTTTAACCCTTAGGGAGGTTTCAGCACTTCTCTCCCTTCCATTCTAGGGGTGTTCTGCCACTGACTATATCCCAAGCCCTTTTTACTTTTTAGTAAGTCAGGGTCTTAATACATTGCAGAGGCTGGCCTTGGACTTTTGATCTTCTTGCCAAGTCTTTGAAAGAATTTAAGAGTTCTGAGAAACTGCAAACGTTGATTCTGACAAATTTTGCCATTGTTTTTGTTATTTTCATGGATTAGAAGAATTTAGCTGTATTTTCTCAACCTTTCTTGCTGATGTTGGTTGGAATCATTTAAAGCAGATGCCAGAGATCTTACATTACTTATGTATGCTAAGCCCACATTATCACTGAGTTACACGCCCCTCAGCTACATTTGGGTCTTTAATTCAGGCACTTTAGTTGCTTTATTCTGCTGGGGATTAAACCCCAAGACCTTGCAGGTTCTAGGCAAGCCCTTCATAACATAACATATGTAAAGTCTTATCTGAGGGCTGGGATGTAGCTCAGTGTAGCATTTGCAAAGCCCTGGGTTCGACCCCCAGTTCCAAAAAAGACAAAAAAAAAAAAAAAAAAAAAAAAAACCCACCAAAAAAATAAAATAAAATTATAAAGTCTTATCTGAGCTACATTCCCTAACCCAGTGTATATATGTCTTGTTCATGCAAATTGAAAACTCTGCTTTAAATAAAATAATACTTTATTTGAGCCAAATATGCAAACCAAGGCTGAGGAATATGAACTCAGGTTAACCTGAGTGACCTACATTCTCTGAAGTAGAAAAGGCTGCATAAGTGATTGTTTACAGACAAAGAGCAAGAAACCTGTAATCCCAGCTACTTGGGAGGCTGAGGTAAGATGGTTAAATTCAAGATCAGTCTGGGCAATTTGGGGGAATATGTCTCAAATCAATCATTTGTGTTCTATAACTGGACTTGTTATCAATAAGATATGTAAAGTTCTATGTTACTTTTTACACTAAGATACAATCTAAATGTCTTTTTAAGTTAATGAGAGCCTAATCTGTGTAAAGGTTTTATTACAAAAAACAAAAGTACTTTGCTACTTTTCTACAAAAGGTTAAAATCTTTCAGTCTTTCTTTAATTCATGTTTAGATGTGATATTATATTGTGTTAGTTAATATTTTTGTAAACTTGAGCAACAATTTATATAGGTTTTATAAAATAATGTCTAAAACGCAAAGATCAGCTTCAGAACTATAGTACTTAAGGTTTATGAAGAGCCCCGCCTTACCTGAGAAAAGGTTCTGTGTCTCATCTCACTACATGTGAAAATGACTACAAAAGAAGTAGGCCAGATTTCAGTACATTTAAAGTTGTGTCCAAAAGTTGTTTTTTGTCAAGATTACTTGGATCTCAAACAGGGGATATAATGTATAACTCTGCAAAAATTCAAGGTAGCTATTACATGAACTAAATATGTTTTTACTCTTGATAATTTTATTTTGTAGTTTTCTTATAAATGGTCTAAAGATTGCCTGTTAATGTTTTGCAGAGATTTAAGAACACTGATTTAAGAACACACAACCTGGGTTGATTTAAGATAGTGAGTTATCACCTACAGGATAGAGAGATAGACATTAAAGCCCAGTACTCTTAATATAAGGCTGTTGAAATTTATTTGCTGGATGTTTAAGATTAAGTTTTAAAATTAAAGTTAAATTAAAAGGGCCAAGAAAACCAATATTTGGCTCTTGCCCTCTGAGTCAGTCTGAATCCAGGGAGCAGGGGACTTCTCCAAAGAGCTTTGCAACTCTGGGCCACATAACCTCCCGATCAGGGAGATTAATGAGACCACTGGAGAACAGAAAGCCAATCAGTGCATTTGCTATGAAGAGGAGGGTCATCAGAGAAGGGATACATCCCTGATGCTTCCGAGGGAAGCCACATGGTCAAGCAAGACCTGGACCCATCCTAGCGCAAATGGCACTAGCAGCACTGAGAAGCCGCTCTCAAATTTCCCCAGGAATGACTCCCATTAAAAACTCAGCTGACTGTTAACAATAGATAGAAACAAAAGTCAGTTTGACAGCTTCATCTTAAACACTTAGCAAAGACAGTTAAAACCAAAACACAGCCATTCCTGGACATTTTAAATAATAATAATAATAATAATAATATTTTAAGGTATACACTTTATGTTAGCCTCCCAAAATAAGTAAGACTGGAGGCTACAAAAAAGGATTCTCAGACAGAAATGCCAGAGGGGCTGGGGATGTGGCTCAAGCGGTAGCAGGCTCGCCTGGCATGCGTGCGGCCCAGGTTGGATCCTCAGCACCACATACAAACAAAGATGTTGTGTCCGCCGAAAACTAAAAAATAATTATTAAAAAAATTCTTTCTCTCTCCTCTTTCTTAAAAAAAAAAAAAAAGGAACTGCCAGAGTAGTTTTTAGTTTAAGGCCTACAGGTATTTCTAACCTACACCGGTAGGCTTGGTGTTTGCTAGTATGATTATCCAGCCCTGAGTAACAAGATTAAAGGTTTCTCTATTAGACACAGAGGTCATACTAGAAAAAAGATTTTGCAAGATCAGATGACATTAAATTATTAAACTGTATCTTAAGAAAAAGGACATCTATAACCCTAAAAGTTAAATGTTGTATTTACATCCCTGACAATTCTGGCAATGTGACAAATATCCTTAAAAATTTACATGCTCAGATAGAAGCCATGTCCTCACCAACTTTGTCATGAGAACAATATCTTAGCTCTTGGTTCCCTGTTACTTCCTGGTGGAAAACACTGTTAGTCTCTGTCTTTTGCATCATACTCATTGACATATTCCTGTGCTGTGGAATTTATTGCTGCATCAATCTGGTTCCAGTACTAATGAATTCTTGTTTCTCTTATAGACCACCCATCACTCAAATGGCCCTCCAGCCTATTACTTCTCAATCTGACTTCTATCATGGACCACTAGATAGACCTGATAGACCCGATTTTTAAAGGGGACTCCAAACTGCTTGCCCAACATCATCCCCTTTCAGCCTGAAGAAGCCAGAATGATCTTCGCCCCCTTTCCTTACAGCAGTAAGGAGTTCCCAAAATTAGAGGGGGGAATGAAGCCAGATTTAAAATTAGGCAGTCAGGGCTGGGGATGTCGCTCAAGTGGTAGTGCGCTCCTCTGGCATGTGTGCGGCCCGGGTTCGATCCTCAGCACCACATACCAACAAAGATGTTGTGTCTGCCGATAACTAAAAAAATAAATAAATATTAAAAAAAAATAAATAAAATTAGGCAGTCAGTGTAGTTAGGTAAATTGAGTCTAATATCCAGTGAAATCTAAAATGGAGGCCATGTTGAGAAGAATTTCCGGAAAAGTTGAGCAACTCTTGAAATGTTAATAAAGTCCCAAGAAAAGCCCTAGGCCCAAAGTCCATCCCAAAGAAATGTTAATGAACAGCCCCAGCAGATTTGAAGATAGCCCATCCCAAAGAAGTGTTAATGAAGTCCTTGCTGCCCAGATTACTTCTTTGGCCCACCTGTGTCCCACCCCTCAGCCTTCCAACCTACATTCCATCATTGAAAGAACTATAAAAAGGGGAAACAACCGCACTTCCACGGATTCCACGTCTTGGGTCCCCTCCTTCCTCCGGGTTAAGTCTTTTCTGCTGTCCTTTAATAAACTTCTAATTTCTACTCTGACCTTGCTTCTCTGGTGCTTCTCTGGTGTTATTCTTTAACATTGGGGAAGCAAAGACTCGTCACTGGTCAACAGCAGTAACAATGGGATTACAAGCATGTGCCACCGAGCCCGTCTGTATTCTTTACTATAAAAATGAAATAATAAGGGCTGGGGATATAGCTCAGAGTGCTTGCCTCGCATGCACAAGGCCTGGGTTCAATCCCCAGCACCGCCACCAAAAACAAACAAACAAAGAAATCATAAACCAGGCAGCGGCTCCGGAGGCTGAGGCAGTAGGATCCAGAGTTCAAAGCCAGCCTCAGGGGCTGGGGATGTGGCTCAAGTGGTATCATGCTCACCTGGAATGTGTGCGGCCCGGGTTCGATCCTCAGCACCACATACAAACAAAGATGTTGTGTCTGACGAAAACTAAAAAAATAAATATTAAAATTCTCTCTCTTAAAAAAAAAAAAAAAAAAGGCCAGCCTCAGCAAACACAATGTGCTGAGCAACTCAGTGAGACCCTGTCTCTAAATTAAAAATACAAAATAGGGCTCAGCGGTTGAGTGCCTCTGAGTTCAATCCCTGGTACCAAAAGAAGAAAAAAAAAAAAAAGAAAAAGAAATTACACAGGGTGCCTGAGTTAACAGTATCTCATGTTCATCAGCAATTCTTTCCTACTGACATCCAGAAATGTGCTGAATACCACAATTTACCTATTCAACTATGCAAGGCAATTTGGGTTACCAGTTTTTGTTCATTAGGAATTAAGGTGTTATAAACGTTTTGAACATTCTTTGGTGGGTATATGCACTTTTACCTCCTCGAGTGGAATTTCTAGGTCGCAGGGTGAGCGTTCTTAGCTTTAATTAGAACGATGAAATAAGTTTTCCAAAGTGGTTGTACCATAAGGCTGTTTTTCTCACGTGGCCTCCGGAGGAAATAAAGTAATCTGTAGCACAACTGGTATCGGGTACTGCATGAACACTAATCGTGTGCCTGATTCTGCTACATGTTTTCACGGTGAAACATAAGGACACAAAATTAGCAATTTTAAGCGCCTTGCCCATAATTTGACTCTTGGTAGGGCTGGCCAAATAGCTAAGGTATCCATCTCCGAACAAACACCGTGTTCAATTTTTGGAAAACGGAGTGTTTTTGAAAGCATCCAGGCTGGCTTACGACCTGAAACGTGTCAGTACTGTGAAGGGCCGCCCCCATCATTCGCCCTCCTGCAACCAGCTCCAACCTCTCAGCCGAACAAAGAAAGCTCACACTAAGCCGCGTGGGTACTCAGCCAGGCCCTGCCCCTCACCTATGCACATGCGCAGCTCCAGCAGTACAGAATCCGCGGCTCAGGCGCGCGTGACGTAATGCCGTACGCTCGTGCGTGATGACGTGCGCTCGGTGGCTCATTGGGGAAGATGGCGGCTGCACTTTTGGAGGAGAGGGATTGAGAGGGGAGGAGGAAGGAGGCTGGAGAGTAGAGACGTTCCCAACTGTGAAGACGAACGCTTCGCTCGCCGTTAGGAGCTCTGCTCAACGCCAGACGGTGAGTGCAGTGGTGGCGCGGGACCGCTCGCCTGCAGTAGGCGGCAGCACTCTCCGCCATTTTCAGGCTTGGCCGTTGCGTGCTTTGGGGGACTGGAGGGGTTCCCGGGGACAGGTTGGAGGAGCTGGGAGGACCAATATCGGGAGGGCTGATTGGGGCAAGTTTGAACCTTTGGGGCGGGGATCGGAGGCTTAAGGCCGGCGAGGAAAGGAGGACATGGTGAAACTAAAGCCCTGCTTGGGGACCGGTGGCGATGGAGAAGACGTAGGTAAGGCGGGCATGAATAAGAGGTGATGTTTGGAGGAGGGAAGCGCGTTTAAACTGATATTTTGAACGGGACTGGAAGGAGATGGGCCGAGAGTTGAATGGAGTGTGGTTTGAGTCGTTGGTTGATGAAGATTCAGGAGAAGTTAATGTGCAGACTATAAAACAGCGGAAGGTTTAGCCTTGATGTTATTGTGGCTTGGATTCGGTGTTTGTTACAGGGATAAGGGCCCCAGCTTGACCGGCAAAGCCCTGCTTCTTCAGAACGTTTATATTCGTATTTGGTTTCCTTTAGAAAATGCATCCTACTTGTGTCTTTTTGGTAACTCCCTCCCTGTCTCTAATTTTAAGTTGCTTTTTGGCAACTTATTTACCCTAATTTAAGATCTTAGAAAGCATTCCTGTTTTTGCATTGTTTTGCATTTGAGACAGGGTTTTTCCCTGTGAAGCCCAGGCTGGTCTCAAAACTCGCGATTCTTAGCATCCCGAGTAGCTGGATTATAAGGCGCCTCTGTACGGCTAGTGTGTTTTAAACAAACAAACAAAAAGAATACTAAAATAAATGTTGATACTTGGTTGTAACCCTTGTGGTTAGTGGCTCTTCTGGAATACGGAGAAGGTATGTTGATAGGGCATTCAGTGGTTATATCTGTTTAAATCAAATCAGAGGAGTAGAAAGCTTATCAAGCTTGTTTTAAAGTAGTTTCTACACAGATGTCATTAAGCTAACTGTTCAGGAACTTTGGAAGACTGCATAGTAACAAAAAGCTATGCTGAAAGTCACGCTTCTTGGAAGAATAGGTTTTGCGTACACTCTGGAGTTCTATTATTTTATGTTTGTGAACGTGGTATTGTGGTAAATCTATTTAATTCAAGCAAAACTGTTATTGACCGTTAGTTGAAAGAAAACGTTCCCCCGGTGGCATTTTTCTTTTTCAAGTCTTAATTGCATTTGACACTCATCTTTCCCTTTTCTTTTGGCACTGGGGATTGAACGCAGGGACACTTAACCACTGGGCTACTTCCCCAGCCCTTTTTACATTTTGTTTTGCGACAGGGAATAGCTAAGTTGCTTTAAGGCCTCGCTAAGTTGCTGAGGATGTCTTTGAATTTGGGATCCTCCTGCCTCAGTTTCTGGAATGGCTGGGATTACCTGTGCACGCCATCTTGCCTGGCTGGACACCCATCTTTTAAAAGATAACTTTTGCACTTTTAACTGGTCTCCTTACTCTATAGAAGATTTGAGTTTGTGCTAGGATTTAAAGTTCCTTATTTAGCCTGTTTTCCAGTAATTTAGGGGAAATTTTAATTTTCTATACTCCTGGGAAGAATTTTGGTGGAAAGTTGGCTTAAAACACAGTTTTTTTTTTTTTTTTAAAAGAGAGACAGAGAAAATTTTTTTAATATTTATTTTTTTAGTTTTCAGCGGACACAACATCTTTGTTTGTATGTGGTGCTGAGGATGGAACCTGGGCTGCACGCATGCCAGGCGAGCCTGCTACCGCTTGAGCCACATCCCCAGTCCCAAAACACAGTTTGTTAAGGAAAAATAAATCGTTATGTGTGAAACTAAAGGTCTAAATTATTTTCTTAAATATTTATCTTTATTTTTAGTTGTAGTTGGACATAATACCTTTGTTTTTAAAATTTATTTATTTTTATGTGGTGCTGATCTAACCAAGGCCTCTCACTCGCTAGGCAAGCGCTGTACTGTACCTCTGAGCCACAATCCCAGCCCAATTCTCTTCTTTAGTTTGTGAAAAATACCAAGTTACCAATTTTGCCATTACAGATTTATCTTGAGCTAAACCTTAAACCATATATATATATAGATTTAAAAAAATCATTTTTGTAGTTGTAGATACGACCTCATGCCTTTATTTTTTATTTTTTAACACTGTGCTAAGGATCAAACTTGGTGCCTCAGATACATGCTACGCAAGCACTTGCCTTTGAGCTGCAGCCCCAGCCCCTAACCATATTTTTATTAATGACTTAAGGTGCTTATTCAGAGCTCTCTTTGATTAGTAATAAGAAGTCCATGTTCTTTTTATGTTACTTTTGGAGGAAAATGTTACTTGATTATTGCCAAGCTCAAACTATTTTATATTTCAGAATAAGAAAGTAAAGTTGTAAATAAAGCTTTATAACTACAACAGATATTTTAAAAAGTTTTTCACTTATGAATGCATTTATGTAATCTTTTTGAGGTTACTTAGAAAAGTATTTGGAGTGTTATAAATATTTTTAGGAAAGATAGTATTACTTAGTTGGGAGTCCCCATGTGAGCAATTTTCATTATAAAAATATTTAATTATCATAAATGTTATTTAAACAAGCATGGGTTCCAAACTTAGTTTTCTACAAAACTTTAAGAATTTGGTATGTGTTGAAACTTGCTGATAAGAAATGTTTAGTTGAAACAGTTACAAGTTTCTTTGTTGCTGAAACATGTTGTGTGACAAGTTGCCTGATGATAGTTTTAATACTTAGAAGTCTTGTCTTTGGCCAGGTGTGCAGGTGCTTGTCTTAATCCCAGAAGCTGGGGAGGCTGAGGCAGGAGGATTGCAAGTTCAAAGCCAGGCTCAGCAAGGCCCTCAGCTACTTAAGTGAGACCCTGTCTCAAAAATAAAAAGGGCTGGGGATGTGGCTCAGTGTTTGAGTGTCCCTGTACCAAAACCGAAAAGTATCGTCTTTTGTTATTTCAGTGGTTTAGATTTAAAAGTTTGCTCTTGAACATGTTTTTTCTTTGGTGACTTTTCTCTTCCCTTTACAAACTATTTATATTAATTCTAGACATAGAAGCTCTTTAGCATTTGACCCATAGAACATGATTCTTCTAGCTCATAAGCATTTTAATAACTTTTTAGTAGAGTTAACTGATTTTATAAAGTTTTTGTTATGCCTTATTTTCATAATTTGATTGCTTGTAAATCCCCAGTGCTGGGTATCATTGAAAAAAAGCATCATGGGGGAGGGGTTGTGGCTCAGCGCCAGAGTGCTTGCCTCGCTTAATGCTTGCCTCGCTTAAGGCACTGGGTTCCACCCTCAGCACCACATAAAAATAAACAAAATAAAACTTAAAAAAAAAGAAAGAAATATCTTTAAAAAAAAAAGAAAAAGAAAAAAAGCATCATAGATTTCAGTAGCAGCCAACTACCTACTTTTTTCTGTTATTCCTATGGATTGAACCCAGGGCCTCAC